CATTATACAAAACAAATATTGACCTCTTAACCCGAGTCATATTCTTAAATAGCCTTTTCAGATCAAGCCTCTCGTTAAGATCTCATTCATGGAGTACATCACGTTTTGAAATGCCTAAACTATCTACTCTTTCCAAACGTCTTCTCGGAACAATGGTTAAAAATTGAATCAAGCGAATGACGCCATTGGCTCTTGAAGAAGCCTATCATTCGGGACTTTGAAACTGGCGCTACAGATTCACAACGATTCCAGTCAATTGACCGAAACCACATCACTTGAAGACTTTCAACAGCAGTAACCACTAAAATGGATAGCATATATAACCCGAAAAGATAATAATGGTATAATTAATTTTTTTTTTTCCATTACATCAATGATAGCCAACGTGGGACGCATGCCCCACCGGTAGGGAATGGTAATATTTTGGTGGGGCATGCGTAGTATGTGCACCCTTCGACTTACTACACCAACAGAATAAGGGGAAAATTCAAGAATGAGTTATTAACAGTGAATCATTATATAGTGAACTCAAATTTCATTTTACATTATTATTTCATGAATATAATGATCAAAGTATATTACAGAATAAGTTTTCATTCAAATATTTTATATTTCTGCCTTTCAGTTCTCTATTATATGTTTTGAAACTATATATATATATATATATATATATATATATATATATATATATATATATATATAACTGTGTTTTTTGTTTTTAATTTTTCTCTTTCATGGACGTCATAGTTTTGGAGGTTTGTTTGAAGACCAAGTTAAAGGCTTTTAAGCCTCTTTTGGTAGATTTTAGTAAAATTTTGAATATGTAAGAATTAAATATTACAAGGCGGCACCAGAGTGTGTGTGTATATTTTATTTTTTATATATATATATATAAAAGTGAACTGTTTCATGCTAGACGCAATCGTCTGACGACTGCGTCTAGCATGAAACAGCCTGTCGCCTCTAAGTGTTGAATTCAATGTTCACTTTTATATTTACACACGCTCTATCTTTGATACTGAGCACTTCATGCCATAAATACAGCACATTTTAAGAGTATATTTCTTCATATATATATATTACTGTAATTATTGAACAATATAGTTCATGCCACTTTGACAGATATATTTTTACCAGTAAAAAAGAATTCACTTAACACTATATTTGTACAAGAACGCACAATTGTAAAATTTAAATTCAAACTCAGCGTTGCGACTGCACGCTCCAAAAACAATAACTCATTTCTAATAGCATTTTTCGGATTACAATAGATATATTTTCGTTGTCCTCTTATTACTGAGAGTAAAAATAAGAACAAAATCTATTCCATACCTGAGGATGTCTGCAGGAACAGACGAAAGCTTGTAAAAATAATAAGAACTTATGCAACAGAAATTTATAAAAACAAGGATCTTTTCATTCATAAACAGGTTCGGGTTTTTCTATATTATTTGAATTGTTCGTAATGATGGATTTCGCCAATTAAATCATTAACCTTTGTATTTGTTTTTGTATGAATAATTCATGAATATATATATATATATATATATATATATATATATATATATATATATATATAATGGCACCAGAATTTTAGAAATACGAAAGTGGAGCATGGGCCCAAATCAATTTGGAACCATTGGTCTATATTAAACATAATATTAAGAAAGAATTTTCGCTCAGTACCTGAAAGAAATATAACAATTAGTAGACTTGAGGAAACTATTTTTTTATGTTTTAACAGAGGGATTAAACCGATAATAAAGCTAAATCTTCTGTCAATCAATGCCGAATGATTCCTTATGAGGACACAGATAATACCATACCACAATACTTTGACAATGATAATGTATATCTCTTTAATCTTGTGTTGATATTCGTAATCGAAAATGACATGGCAAGATATCGCATCAAACATGATAATGATAATAATATTAATAATAAAAGCCTATTGCGAAGGAAGCAGTGGGTATTTCAATAGATAAGCGAGAATTGTGGAGAAGAGCTATGTGTAGATGGTGAGAGAAAAGCATTTTTTAGTTGAATTATTATTCAATCAAAGCTACTTAACAGTCATATCTGGATTATCGGGAGTACCGTCTATCGGAAGGTGTTCCAAGGAATCACTATATCGCGCACATTCATATGCCCATGTGTTTAATACCTCTATCCTTAAAAGCTGTAAACAAGGGAAAAAAAAAGACCTGACAATGGATATTTTTATCCTTGCTGTTTTGCTTTTTATCAAAACATCTAGGTCGCTAATCTACGACTCTTAAAATTGCAAGATTCAGAAATAGGAAATGATTCAGAAATCTGGATGAAAAGCAAGAGAAATAAGAGTAAATATACCTGTGTTTATAATCAAACCCCTTCTTAAAACATAAAAATTAGTTTCCTCAAGTCTACTAATTGTTATCTCTCTTTCTGGTACTGAGTGAAAATTCTTTCCTAATATTATGTTTAATATAGAACAGGGTTTCACAACCAAAATTGTCATGCTCCATTTTCGTATTTCTAAACTTTTGGTTCCATGTTATATCTTCCCATATATGGCCTCCTTTGTAAAATCACTAGTGGGTCTTAAATGCCATAAGATTATTTCCCAAACTTTCATAACTGAATCAATAAGCTGTGAGATCCTCATAATTTCGAAACCGACGGTAGAGTCCATAATGTTTTATTTTATATATATATATATATAATATATATATATAGGATATTATAAATAAATATTTATATATGAAATTATTTATTTTCAACAAAAATATAATCAATTTTGAACATAAGTAAGCTCTGTTCTTTTATAAAAGATAAGAGCTTAATTTGGATCTAACAAATTGAGCTAATATTCTTTCCAGAAAAAATTTGTTTTGAAACATGGAACATTTCGAATGAATTGAATCATATTTTTAAATAAATAAATAAATTTATGCTCTACTTTTTATCGAGCACTATTTTTAAAAAATAATAACTAGAAAATACTAGGAACTTTGGATTATTTACCTGACCAGTTCTTTCCTATTTTCTATATATTTTCACACACACACACACACACACACACACACACACACACACACACACACACATATATATATATATATATATATATATATATATATATATATATATATTGTGTATTTAGACATTTTTCATTCATACATATTGTCTATATTATTTAATGAAACATGTATGAATATATATATATATATATATATATATATATATATATGTGTGTGTGTGTGTGTGTGTGTGTGTATATGAATTAATTAATTATCTCAAATCCGATTTAATTTCTATCATTTGTATAGAAAACCTTGAACCAGCTTCTAATGCTCTGGATGGAGCGGCTTTGGGAAAGGAACTTGGATGAGTTCCACCACGGAATATGTGAACGAGGGGCGCAATATCGAGTCTATTTCGCTACCTTTTTCGTCGCTGTGGCTCGTTAGTGCGGTTGGTATGACATTTGCCTGTCAACGTTGCTGTCCCGGTTTCAATTCTCGGTAGTGGATGCAAACTGCTGATGAGTCCCCAATATAGGATAAAACAGCCGTCCAGTCTTCCTGCAGTCTGTTGAGGTTTCGTCTAGACTTGATGAAAATATATATATATATATATATATATATATATATATATATATATATATGTAACTCTGGTGTCCCGTTTTAATATTTAATTCTTACAGATTCAAAATTTTACTGCAATCCACGCGAAGGAAGCTTAAAAGGCCATTAACTTGATATTTAAACAAGCTTCCAAAGACCCATGACAATACTGCATGTCGGAAATTTCGAAGACCGCTATTGTTTGTTTGTTTCGTTTTCTTTTACGGTATACCAACCCCAATTGGTTATTTAATGCCGACAAGATCTTTATTGCTAATAATATTTTTTTTCAAAAATCTATTGCTTGTAATATTTTTTTAAAATTTATTGCTGGTAATATTTTTTTTTCAAAAATGTATTGCTGGTAATATTATTTTTTCAAAAAGTATTGTTGGTAATATAAAGCGTTCAGTTCGACATTCCAACAACCTGAAGAAGGCCGCAGCGTACAACGGCCGTAACTTTGTAATGAATATGGCGACAAAGATGAGGACAATAGTCCGAATAATGTAAAAATATATATATATATATATATATATATATATATATATATATATATATATTACGATAACAGTTTAAACTGAAATTAATAATCAACAGAACTAAGGATCGAGAGGTTATTATTAAACAAAAATTTGTAGACCCAGTTACTCGGCAGAAGCTGAAACTATTAGAAGAATGCATTGTTGCCACCGTAAGGATGACTCGATTCGTACGCTGATCAAAATTAATTTCACTGTTTAAAATAAAAGGGGTCTCAACACAAACGTGAGCATCCACTCTAAGGACATATAGCGGAGTGGATAAAGATCCAGTGACAGGACCCAAGAGTTCAATTCCCGGTTAAGGCAGTGGAGAACTTGGAGAGGGGAATTAACAGGGGATAGATAACTGATAACTGACATCCATTAAGAACCATGGCACGTGGAACTAGAACAGTCTACTTCAGTGACCGAAATAAAGGGTTCAGTTCGACATTCCAACCACCTGAAGAAAGCCGGAACGTACAACGGCCGAAACTTTGTAATAAATATGGCGACTAAGATGAGGACAATAGTCCGAATAATGTAAATAGTGTACATAATACCTCATCTCAGAAATATAGGCAGATACTTTTTAAAAGAACTCTTTAATTTTTACAGATGTTATATCTGTGGAGAGTAAATTTCTTGTCTCGATTCAGTTTTCAAAGTTTTACAAAATACAGTGTAACCCGGATATAAGAGATTTTCTCTGGTCCCAAATTAGAGCCTGTGTTAATGTATATAAAATAGACCCAACCCGGATATAAGAGAAACCCGGATATAAGAGACTTCTTCTCCGGTCCCGACAACTCCCTTATATCCGGGTGACACTGTATTATATATGTTTTGCTGGGAAGATTTCGTGTTGATGTCACGACCGTTCAGCAGGTTGCCCCCTGTTTATATCATATAACAGTAGAAGCGACAATTGATTTATGACGTCCCACTTTGGTTGCAAACTGGAGACTGATTTTCCAACAACGGTTCCCCTTTGACGGCATCATTCACTGTTTGTCCGTAGACGACGAATACGAGATATTTGTCTTCCCCCGGGGACATTTGTGCAGAGCATATTTAGGGTCACAGTCGGAATTGACAGTTTTGTTTTCCGTGCTGATACCATTACACTTCGTAAACTGGGAATCATGTCTCTCCACAACTACCTATTCTCTGTAGTCGATGTACATGACTTTGCATGTCAATAGGTACTCACACACACATAAACATGCTCATACATATCTGTGTTTGTGTGCGTATGCGTGTGAGTATAAACGAATAACTATATGCATCTATCTATCTATATATATATATATATATATATATATATATATATATTCACTTTGTATATGATATAAAAAATTCACTTTGTCTAATATATATATATAAATAAACACACACACACACACATATACAATAGACAAAGTTTTAATCTTTTTGTTGGCTGTGCTTATATAATATTGGTAATTTGTTTTTATCAGGCAGACTAACTTCCTAAAATTAGTATTTCAGTGACCAAACATCAGTCGCTCTCATTTTTCATAGCCATCTATTCATCTTTCCCGCTCTCTCTCTTTCTCTCTGTTTATCTTTCTATCTGTCGCTCTGTATTTCTCTCTCTCTCTATCTTTCTATTTGTCTCACTCTTTATCTCTGTCTCTGTCTTTCTCTCTCTCTCTCTCTCTCTCTCTCTCTATATATATATATATATATATATATATATATAATAGACAAAGTGCATTTTTAATCTTTTTGTTGGCTGTACTTATATAATATTGGTATTTTTTATGGACAAACATCAGTCACTCTCAGTCTGTTTATGTCTATCTCACACTATTCATCTTCCCTCCCCACTCTCTCTCTATCCGTGAAAGGATGTTAATATCTATCTATCTATCTATCTATAGGACTAGCTTTGGAGAGGTTAGAAAGACATTATTATTATTATTAGTAGTAGTAGTAGTAGTAGCAGTATTAGTAGTAGTTGTAGTAGTTTTGAAAGCATAAATTCCCTTAATATTGCTAAAGTGTGTATACTTTTAGAAACTATATTTTAAAATCTTCCTGTGTGTCTCAGTATTCATCTATGTATATGTCCATCTGTCTGTCTGTCTCTCTCTCCCTATCTATCTATCTCTGTGTCTATCTCTCTCTCCATCTATCTATCTCTGCGTCTATCTCTCTATCTCTCTCTATCTATCTATCTCTGAGAGTATATGGTATACATGTTTTTTCTATATATCAAGTGAATATTAGATAACTGAATGACAACATGGAAACATTCCATATAACGCATTTCGTCCTTTAAATAACTTCATCAGACAAAAGTAATGGTTTTATTGATAGAATAAAAAACGTACTTAAAATATTATTAGGTTGGTGCAAAAATAATGACGTAAGAATGTCGTTTTTGACGTTAAAAAATACGTCAAAAACGACATTATTACGTCATTATTTTTGCACCAACCTAATAACAATATTTTAAACATCAGAGGTAAAAAAACAAAAAAAAACATTTGTAAAACTGAATGAAATCGGTCGAATTGTTGCGTCTAGAAGTGTCTGACGCTAGAAAAATTAAAAATTAAAAATATAACGTCCTTGTGACTGAGTTGTGAGTTCGATTCTTACTGGCTGCTTCTTACGTTCGCTGTTGAGCTATGCATAGTAAATAACTCCAGCAGCGTTCTTTTCTTGGTGCTTAATTATAAGCGGTATTTTTCATCGCTCCTCCACACCCGCTGGAGATATACCATCGACAGTGTGGTCCGAAAGTGTTGTCACCCCTAACTGAAAAGCACTAATGACAATACAAGAACAAATTATAGAGTAATACAAAACACATGCACTAGATTTATTTTCATTGAGGCTGTCGCACACCTAGAAGGTCTGCCTGAAAACCATTTTTATGTCAGTCCTCTGAAATAGAAAATTATATTATCTAGGGGTGACAAGACTTTCCGACCACCCCGTATAATACTATTACGCTGGTCTGATGAAGTCTTTTGAAAGAATTGAATGCATTGAATGGATGTTTCCGCCTTGTCATTCTGTCAACTATCTATCTAGTAGTATGCAGCATACGTTGGTATGTTAATGCTTTCAGTGAGACTCAACTAGAATAAATATTGAGACTCAAACACAGAGGACTAGTAATGTGCAAGAGCATCTTGCTAAACATTACCAGTAACCCTCAACGTTGAGTGGCACTTTCGCCATGTATTGGCTAAACTGAAGTAAACAAAAAAGTCTATCTATCTATCTATCTATCTATCTATCTATCTATCTATCTATCTATCTATCTTATTCCTTCATTTCTATCTATCTATCTATCTATCTATCTATCTATCTATCTATCTATTCCAGTTTGTTTAACATCTATCTATCTATCTATCTATCTATCTATCTATCTATCTATCTATCTATCTATCCATTCCAGTTTGTTTAACATCTATCTATCTATCTATCTATCTATCTATCTATCTATCTATCTATCTATCTTATTCCTTCATTTCTATCTATCTATCTATTCCAGTTTGTTCAACATCTATCTATCTATCTATCTATCTATCTATCTATCTATCTATCTATCTATCTATCTATTCCAGTTTGTTCAACATCTATCTATCTATCTATCTATCTATCTATCTATCTATCTATCTATCTATCTATCTACTGATATGTATTGGCATTTACTACCTATATTGTAGACTGACACACGATTGAGTCGATTGTGAAGATCATATTCATGACACAAGCGGAGTGGTCTGCGAGAGAAGCCTGGTGGCAATGGCACCATCGCGGTCACCCGCCTGAAAGCCTATTTGCAGAGTATAGAGTGGCTCAAGGCCAAACGTTTGTGGCACCACAATAGAGTCAGGTTTGCTCGACCAGGTAACTAACAATTACACAATGACGAGTTTATTGCCTATAAAACGTCTAGTTAAGTAACTGCTGCTTTGTAGAAACCGCAAATGCTATGCTGATGGGTTCAGCTATAGAAATTCCACTCCGACTACCGTGGAAAATAAAACGGAAAAATAAGAGAAAAACAAAAGAGAGAGAGAGAGAGAGAGAGAGAGAGTCACATGAGCGCATCCATCTCCCTACCTTCCCCTCCTTTTGCCACCATTTGTTATACTACTACTAATAGTATTTTTATTACAGCTACTACTACTACTACTACTACTACTGTTAAATATTTTTTCGGCTTCTGTCGGTTGTGTTACCACAACTACTACATTTGCCACAACTGCTACAAACACTAATGATAATGATACTATGCACCGGCCACATTCTCTGCCCTTTTTCTCTTTCTTCTTCTCCTCCTCCTCCTACTCCCACATATTTCTTTTGTCTCTCCGTTTTCTCCTTCCTGCATGCCTTCTTTCCTTTCTTCCTTCGCCTATCGATTTTTCTAGTTCGCGCGTACCGCCTTTAGTCCATCTACTGCATTTATCCCAGCCTCTTTGCAAGCTCCAGCGTTCAAACCTTTGATATTTGACCACACTGGTAAAATGAAATAATTTAATAAGCGCCAAAACTGGATAAGGGACTGGCTAAAAGCGATTGAGGGCGAGAGAATCGGCCGACATAACGCCTGATAATAAAAACGCGACAGAAGATGGAAAAGAAGAGGTAACACGACTAGTCGTTTTAGTCACTCTTCTTTTAGTTATTTTGACTAAAATAGTAGTTACCTTAAAATTCAGTATCTATCTCAGTCTGTTCATATCTATCTATCTATCTATCTATGTCAGTCTGTTCATATCTATCTATCTATCTATCTATCTATCTATCTATCTACTCTACTCTTTAGTAAATTTTACTAAAATAGTACTTACCTTGAAATTCGGTATCTATCTATCTATCTATCTATCTATCTATCTCAATCGGTTTAAATATCTATTCATCTATTTATTTATCTCAATAGTTGTAAATATCTATCAATCTCAAGTTTAAAATATCTATCTATCTATCTATCTATCTATCTATCTATCTATCTATCTATCTTTTTTCTTTCTTATTCCTTCATTTCTATCTATCTATCTATCTATCTATCTATCTATCTATCTAGTCAATTCAACACTTATCTAAATATCTATTTATTCTACTCGTTAGTAATTTTGACTAAAATTCAAGTAGTAGTCATCTAATCACTGTATTTTTTTACTTTTTTTTTACTAGTTTTTGCTATACTTGCTGATTTTATGACGAAGATTTCATAGGATTATATAACGGAAGAAATCTTCATAATGAGGATATCAGGTCATCGCTTAGAATCATTTGATTTCAATATACCTCAAACCTCTAAAACTCTCCTTACTATTTTCACCAAATTCACAAGTTCGGGATGGCTAGAATCTTGGATATAAATGTGATACATCTTCATTGGAAACTCCACATCTTTTTGCCGGGGGGTGGTCTTTATCGAAGTGTCACGGTGAATTAATGGTAAGCAAGATAGTTTAGTTACTATTGTGCACTGAGATCGATCTTCAATAGGTCCTTCTCAGTTATGGTCTATTGTCCAAATAATCTAAGCATATATATGAAGGTTCTACAATGTTATCGGTCCTGAGCTGGCACCTCGACTTCAGTCACGTTTGAACTTCAGAGAGGTGGCTTCCCTTAGTCTTTTCTGTAAATATTTCCATGGCAATTGTTCGAACGAGCTTTTTTTTCCCTTGGAACCCCGACCGAAAGAATTTAATCTTACTGCTAGAGTGGCAACTAGTTCTCATCGATTTACTGTTGAACTAGCTAGATGTAACCGTAAGTTCTATTCTGATTCTTCTCTTGCACTTCCCGCCTGTGAAACTCCTTTCCGATTACTTGCTTCCCTGTTACCTAGGATCTTCAAACATTTAAGCGCAACATCAAAACGCCATCCTGTCTTCTTGAAATATCCCGTATAACATCAAAATTGTCCAAATCGCGTTACAGCATAAATGTCCATAAATGTCAAAATATTTAAAATCTAAAAAAACAAAAGAAAACACGAAACTAATTGCGTTTCTTTTTCGGGTTTTCAGATAAGACGTTTAACCATCCTGATAACATTTGTCGTAAGAACCCTTTGAGCTATTCAGCTAGAAAGAGAACAGGTTAAGATTGCTTTGTGTCAAAACCACTGTCTTCTCAACTGGGCAATGGTGAGAGGATAAAGATCATTGAGGTCTTCAGTAATGGTACCAACATTCATACTTTGGTTTCCGTCTTCAAAGTCTATTCAAGAACCATCAAGAGAACGGTGAATAAGTTTTAAAAAGAAAGAATAGTGCGGAGGAAAACGGGATCAGGAGGTCACAACAGGAATAGGGATCATCATTTCAATTTAGAACTAAAGAGATCAATTAGAAAAGATAAAACTCAAGCCATAAGAGGCTTGTCACGTGATAGAGGAGTTTCATCTCTGAGAGTCCAAAGAGCAGTGAAGAAGACTTGAAAATGAAATCGTACGTGAAACCTCTGAGGCAACTTGTTACACCAGGACAGAGAGTTAGAAAATTAGAAAGGGCGAAGATCATCTTTAATAAGTTGGAAAATGATCCTGGAATGATATATGTATATATTTGGACTTTATTTCAAACTTTCATGAGCTTCCGATCCTTAGCTATGATTAATTAATGATGAACATGTCATTTTCGTTTATGATCGATTTCATCACGGTTCTTCTGTTAAGCTTGGAGAGGAATTATACAGTGTTATTGAACCCCGAAGCTAAAGCAAAACGCTATGGAAATATTAAAAATATATTTTGTGGTAAAAATACATATTTATAGTAGAATTACCAACAATAAATTTCTGGCAAAATGACTGTCAATACAGTATAGTCAAATAGTGTTGTAAAATCATCGGCGAATTCCATTAAGATATCTTTAATCGTTTTTAAGTTACAACGGTTCATATCTTAATCTAACAATTGGATAATTTTCCTGTTACATGAATTGGACAATTTTGTTATTACACCCGATATATATATATATATATATATATATATATATATATATATATATATATATATATATATATTTTTTTTTCCTCTCACTTAGATTCCTTTCATTCTCCACGTGTAAATACTTTTATGCCTTTTAAAGAAAACTTTCCGATGACATAGGGGGAAGGTATGCTTCGATAGCTGCACCCATAAATAAAATATTTCAGTCACATCGTAATTTACCACATGGTGAAACGTTAAATAAGGTTTTCCCTTTTTTTTAACGTTGAAACAACATGTACAGATTTGTAGTGGGTATGTGCATGTTGTAATGTAACACTGCATAATATATATATATATATATATATATATATATATATATATATATATATGAGAGTGTGTGTGTGTGTGTGTGAAGAAATATAGTTTTAAGGTGCAGTATATTTATGGGATAAAGTGCTCAATATCAGAGATAGAGCGTATGTAAATATAAATATAAAAGTGAACATTGAAGTCAACACTCAGGGCGACAGGCTGTTTCATGCTGGACGCAATCGTCGGCCTGACGATTGCGCTCAGCATCAAACAGCCTGTCCCATATATATATATATATATATATATATATATATATATATATATATATATATATATATTAGTCAAGTTCAATCCAATCAAGGCAATAAAGCCAGTAAGACACATGTGGTTACTAGGTGTGAAAGAGTTAGAAATAGAAATATTACGAAGGATCGAGAACAAAGGAAGGGTAATCAACACTGTCTATAGCGAGTGACACTGCATTTAAATTTTTTAAAGATTAAACTGGTTTGGGAATCATGGAACCAGATAAGAGCTCCACAAGAAAAGAAACTGTTAGCATTGAATTTACGGCAATATCTCGCCGACTCACTTGTAAATTGATGAGATCTTGGCGCCAGTCTAATACTGCGCTTAAATTTTTAAAAAGTCTAGGTACCATAGCGATGACCTCATCTGAACAAATACCATGAAAGTATTTATAGAAAATGCACAGGAGGCAACCTTACGGCGGTGGGAAAGTGACTGAATCCGAGCAATTAGATCAGGACCATAAATAATACGAGCACTGGGCCATATATAGCAGCAATCTTCCAATCATGGACTAATGGTAGATTTATAGTTATGTAATGTTCTTATATTGTCCTGTCTCCTCAGAAATGTCTTCTTATTTTCTTTCACTCTCGCTAACACCTTGAATGCGACAGGCATTAGTGTGTTGAAATGATTCAGTCAGTTATGTGGGATGCGTGATACACGCTATCTTTCGATACATGACTGACGAGACAGATTTTTTTCCCGCATTAGGTTGCCATTTCTTTCTGCGGTAGACCAGTTGCCATACAAAGCTATAGAACCCGTTATGTCCTGCTATTTTACCCATAGATGAGAAGAAGAGGGTTCATACCTTTCCCAAGTGTGTTAGCGCGTAATTGAATGTAATGCAATGAATTCGAACTCGGCTCTCCGGTTCCTCAATCCGAGCCACTATCTATTACTCCAACGTCCCTCAGTGAAATGATTAAAGAAGAATTTAGAAAATTCCCTAGTAATATCTACTACCCACAAGCATAATCATACTGTACCCAGGTGAAAAGCAGTACAGGGAGATTATTATTGTAATGGTATTAGCTGGGACCGCATAAGGAAAGATTCGGCTTTTCTTTTCTCGCTCTTGTCGCCTTCGGAACTCACTTCCGGTTCCCTACTTCCTTGTTACGATCTTCAAAGATTGAGATGCAACATCAAACATCATTTTTTTTCTTCCCTTGTACCACTGTCCTTTTATTGTCCTTCCTCCATGCTTAGGTTTCTTTCTTTTCATTTATTCTCAGTGACCCGACATGTTCCCGGCTAAAATCGACTTCCCCATATCTGGAATCTAAGTATCGAATAATGTAAGCTTAAATATGTAATTTGTATATCAATGTAAGGTTGTATCGTACTTAATATGTATTTTTCTTCTCCTTCTTCTCTCGGTTCTCTCTATTGGTTTTCTCCCTTTTTTATTTTGCTCTTTCTTTCTTTCCTTCTTTCTTTCTTTCTTTCTTTCTTTCTTTCTTTCTAACCCTCGCTCTCATCCTCTTCCCCATTCTCTCTATCTCTGGGTATTTGCTAATGTTAGTTTCGTTCGACATCAGACGTAACTAATGCATGTAATTAGAATCTAATTAACTTTTGTAGTATAATTGTGTGAAACTAGATCACCAACATCTTGTCCATCGCCAGCCAATATAAAAGTACTTTGCCTAATGTCGAAAAAATAATTTATTTCACACACACACACATACACACACACGCACATACACAAACATTGAGTTTTCATCATCTTTCTTGTCAATGCACGTAATTCAATAGTAAATACTAATTAAATTCATCGCGCATTATACAGAGAACATTTCAGCTACAAATTCAGTAACCCACATATCAGGCTGCGGATTTAATGATTCAAAACCCAAGTAATAGTTTTTGTTTTTTTTCTTTCACACTTTTCGCCTGTGGAATGTGATTCCGGCCTTTTGTTTTCCTGTCATCAATTTTATTCCTTTTATGGGCCGTGTCCCGTCAGGCACACGACACATGACTCTTCAAAATCTACAGTTCTTTGTCGCTTCTAGTAAATGTTGACTTTTCGCCACCTCAACTCATCCCTGTTCTGCTAACAAAATTAAATGCAACATCATTCGCCATCTTCTGTCTGCTTGAATTCTATTCTTTTATTGTCCTGTCTCTCTCCTCAGTAACAATTTATGGTTTTCTTTCACGATTAGTAAACCCTTGCATCTTACTGGCTTCATTGTCTTGCTTAGTCTGCCCGGTTTTTTGAAGATGAGTAGAGGTTTATCCCTTGTTTCCTGTTTAGGATTGGGTTTCCGGTTCCTTCTAAAGTCTACTTCAACTCAATACTGTTAACGTCTCCTCCCGGTCTTTTGAAAAGGAATAGAGTTTATCCCTGGTTTCCTGTTTAGGATTGGGTTTCCGGTTCCTTCTAAAGTCTACTTCAACTGTATGCTTCTACGCCAAAACTATGGAAATTTATTTACTATTAATTTTCTTACAAGTAGGTTCAAATACGTTCACTCATCGTCCGGTTCGCACACCTCCCCAGTGTTTGGAACAAGAGTAGAGATTTATCACGTGTTTCCTGTGTCTTCTAATGCCAGTCTTCATGTGGTGTTGATTTGCTGGGCTATATATATATATCAATGTATGCATGTATGTATGTGTATATACAATGTGTGTGTATATATATGTGTGTGTGTGTGTGTGTGTGTGTGAAAATAGATAGATAGACGTAAACTCTGTGGGCATGAAGACCAACACTGCATAATGATTGGAAGTTTCCATAAGTGATGATAAATTTATGCATGAAACTGCCAGTCACGATGTAGTGTTGATTTCCTGGCCCATAGAGTTTATTTCTAAGTCAAATACTGATCTCTCTTCCTCAATGAATATGGCAAATATTAAAATATAATAGTATTCGAAAACTGCAAAAATACACTAAAAATTCATCCACATTATGGTGGCCGAATTTAACAAAGGTAAATATACATTCTATAAAAAGATGTATACAGATATAGACAGTGTTGGTCGAAGAATCAATACAGCATTGTTACTATCACAGCCATTTTCACGCCTCAAGTCGGCTTGAGGCCAAGTGTTGATTCCAAAGATATATATATATTAGAATATTTTTATTAGAATATTTTACATCGCTACAGAAAAAAATTCATGTTTCGGAACTAAAAATTATCTTAAAAATTTTCATGTTTCGGAATTTAAAATTAATATATGTATATATATATATATATATTGATAGGTAGATACACACACACACACACACACACATATATATATATATATATATATATAAATGTGAACATTGAAGTCAACACTCAGAGGCGACAGGTGGTTTTATGCTAGAAGCAATTGTAGGCCGCCTGACGATTGCGTCTAGCATGTAACAGCCTGTCGCCTCTGAGTGTTAACTTCAATATTCACTTTTATATTTATATTTATATACGCTCTCTCTCGGATATTGAGCACTTTATCCCATAAATATAGCCCACCTTAAAACTATATTTCTTCATATATATATATATATATATATATATATATATATATATATATATATATATATATGGATGGATGGATGCATGGATAGATGGATAAACACTCGTATCCGGGGATGCCTGTCTACACGGGCGGCTAGTCAATCCCTGATTCAGACGCCTGCTCAGGCACATTTATCTCTCCTCAACACCCACACCTGAGCGGACTTTAGTTAGAGTTTCTGGGAGCGAATGCATTATCTCGGGTGATCAACACTCTAAACAAAACCAACACGCTCAAACCCTCGGCAATGATGACTTGTCACTTTGTGCTAGTACAATATATATATATATATATATATATATATATATATATATATATATATATATATATATATTTTTTATACGTTATTTTTATAGATATAATTTATTTAAGTAAATGTTCTGCTTTTTTTTATTAAACAGTAATTACATTTACCGGCCTGAATGTTCGAGAAATTGTGTAGAAAATATGGTTTCCCGACATTGTCAGATTGAATACATTTCATTATATGTTGTCATTTTTTACATTAGTATACGTTTTGAACAGTTTAAAGTGAGTAATTTGGACTCTCTGTAGCTAAATAGTATAGCACATCAGGTCAAATGACGGTCTCCTATAGGAATAGTGGTTCGATTCCTGTCGGAAAACATATTTTCTACGAAATTTCACGGATATTTCAGTCGGTAAATGTAATTATTACTGTTTTAAAAATAATAAAAAGAAGAAACAGCATTTAGTTAAACAAATTGTATCTATAAAATAACGTATAAACGGAAAATATATTAAATAATTGTCGGACTTAATGAGTTTTATATATTGAAACTCCGACAATTATTTAATTTATTTTCCTTTTATACGTTATTTTATATTATATGTGTGTTATTTTATATATATATATATATATAATCCAAAGTTCTTTAGTATTTTTGTTATTATTTTAAAAAAATATGCTCGATACAAAAGTAGAGCCTAAATATAATTATTTATTTAAAAATATAATTATTTACTTAAAAATATGATTTCCATGAAATTTACGCGTTTTTATAAATTTCAAGAATTAGTTATTCAAAAATTTTGCTTGAAGATGTAGCAGAGCTTGGTACTTTAATTCAATTTAATTTAAATAATTATATTGAAGTTTTCGGCTCTTGTTTTGAAACATGAGAACACTTATGTAGCAGAAGGAATCATATTTTTAAATAAATAATTATATATATATATATGCATATATATATATATATATATATATATATATATATATATATATATATATATAGACTACAATATAGGCTATTTAATAATAAAATTACTAACACCAAAGTCAAAAAGAATAAAACCACATAAAATTGGCTTGAGACATCTTTAAAAAAATTTAAAACGTTTAAAATTTCAAATCAATGAATAATTATAATCAGTGTTTCAGATTACAGAAAAATAATCATACTTGTTCATTAATTTCCTTAACACTATTCTTGTATGTCATTAAATTATATTAAATTCTATAGACACCCACCACAAACAATACACATACACACACATACACACAGCTATGAACACACAAACGCACACACACACACACACACATATATATTTGGCTTCTTTTTTACAGGTGCAGATTTTCCAAAATTATATATATATATATATATATATATATATATATATATATATATATATATAGAAGTGAACATCAACAACATAGAGGTCTGTTTCATGCTATATGCAATATTGCATATAGCATGAAACAGACTGTCGCCTCTAAGTGTTGACTTCTATGTTCACTTTTATATTTACACACGCTCTATCTCTGATATTGAGCACTTTATCCCATAAATATAGCACACCTTAAGAGTACATTACTTCATATATATATATATATATATAGCATAATGAGAAGCCACGTATACTTTCTTAATATGTATATATAGAAAAAGTTGCAAATTAAAAAAAATAATAATTTTTTTTATGAAAGTATTTATTTATTTATATATATATTTGATATTTCAGATTGCCTCGATCTTTCTTCAGAAATAACTTACAAATATATATATCAAATATGTATATAAATAAATAAATACTTTCATAAAAAAAATATTATTTTTTTTAATTTGCAACTTTTTATATATATATATATATATATATATATATATATATATATATATCATCGGATAACCTCTTAAAATTTACAAAACTGTGGTTTAGGCAAACAGTTACGTTTATTCATTTCTGAAGTCATTAAAAAACCCATTATTAAAAGACACGGTAGCTATTTTATCTGAAAGGGTGCACCGTTTATGCAGTCCCCACACAGATGCTACTGAGAATTGCCGTTGTCTAAAGAGAAAAACTTATCAACTTCTGGTCAAGAGCAAATCGCGATGAAATTAAGAAAAAAAAAAAATTTAGATTATTTGGTTTCAACATATAATCTAAATATATTTTGTTGTTTTTTATCCTTTTATCCCAAGGAAGGTGATAAAGCCACTAAGACGCAATGAGTTACTGAGTGTGAAAAAATGTTAAAAAAAAAAAAAAGAAAAAATCATTATTAGTAAAGATAACAATGAACAAAGAACAATTAAGAAGACAGACGATAACGATTGAAACTGCATTTAAAAATTTTGAAGATCAAAATTAGTTGTAAAAATGACACCTGAACTTGGTGTTGGAAATAATGGAGAATAGATTTACGTGAGTTGAGCGGCTATGTTGACTGGGGAGTCCTAAGGCGCGAACACCTCATACTTCCATTTGGATTGGCGAAAGCGGTGAAGGCAGAGGTATGTTATAAAAATCCGTTCACTTCATACTCGAGAGGCTTTCTAGCTGACAGCGAAACAAGTTGTTATTATTGTTCCTGTTTTATATTACTGTGGTTATCTGTCCCTAGCGGAGAGGGTCGCAAAGTGTTACGGGACCTTACCCATAATAACATAATGGACTATTCCATACGTAATAAATACTGCGCCTCAAGAGGAAGCAGAGAGATCAGTCTGAAGTCTGGAGTGAAGTCCGTCAGGAGTCTGTCAGTCAGTCAGAGCGAGCGAGTCAGTCAGTCGAGTCAGAGGCAGTCCGAAACAGAGTCGCGTTCAGACAATTACTACTAAACCTGATTATTCGTACTAACACTTTTCTACCTCTCTGTATATATTCCTGTTTGTAATATATCTTTGTTATTACATACTCGCTTTCGAGTTCTTATTTATTGGTTCTACCTTGGACTATCAGCGTGGTACAAGGAACCGGACCATAACAGTGGCGACGAGGATTCGAACTCATTCGGTGGAAGAAAAAAAAATTGTTCGGCACAGCATGACACAAAGGAAGGACGTTTTCATTTGCAACACGGTCATTCGCCAGCTATCTGCACGCTGGTCTTTCAGTCGAATTCCTTTTCGTGAAGAAGTTCACGAGCGGCAAGTGCGCGAGAAAAAACTGTTAGAATGGAAATTACGGATCCATCTAGCAAATTCAACTGTAAAATGATGAGACCTAAGTGCCAATCTAGTACTGTGTTCTTAATTCGTAAAATCGGGGTACCAAGGAAGAAATAACATTAGAACAATTTCCATAAAATTATTCATAGAGAAGACAGAATGAAGCCACGTTATAATCACAGTGAAACTACTTCATGGCGATGGGAAAGTAACGGAAGCCAAGATGCCAAGCATACTCATTTGTATCAACATATTAGTTACAAATATATATCAATATATTAGTTATAACTAATATGTTGATAGAAATTGTTGACCCTTACGCTTCTTATTTAAATAATTGCGTCAGCCGTTTCCATAGTAATTAATTTTACGAATAAAAATAATTATAATTTAGGCTCTAGTTATATATTGAGCACTGTTTTTTAAAAATAAAACCAAAAATACTAAAGAACTTTGAATTATTTACCTAACGTGTTCTGTCCTATTTTTCTATATATTTTCACACACACACACACACACACACACACACACACACACACATATTATTTAAAAAAATATGATTCCTTCGCTACGTAAGAGTTCTCATGTTTTAAAAACAGGAGTCAAAAACTTCCATATAATTATTAAAATTAAATTGAATTAAAAGTATCAAGCTCTGTTTCATCATCAAGTGAAATTTTTGGAATAACTAAGTTTGAAATTTACGCAGCTTTATAAGCATATTCATTTGTATCAAGATATTAGTTACAAATATATATCAATATATTAGTTACAACTAATATGTTGATAGAAATTAACCCTTACGCCTCTTATTTAAATAATTGTGTCAGCCGTTTCCATAGTAATTAATTTTACGAATGAATATTATAATAATTATAATTTAGGCTCTACTTTTGTATTGAGCACTGTATTTTAAAAATAAAAACAAAAATACTAAAGAACTTTGGATTATTTACCGAACGTGTTCTTTCCTATTTTTTATACACTACACACACACACACACACACACACACACACACACACACACACACACACACACATATATATATATATATATATATATATATATAAAAAAAAAAAAATAAACAAAAAGCAAAACACTAATTCCCGTATAATATACAGACTGGGTTAACATTACGTTAACCAGGTATTTTTATTAAAATTTGAATTATGTAACGGTCAGTCTGTACTCAGCACCTGAAGATTGCGTTGTGCACGAAACTTCGTGTCGTGCTACCGGTGAGGAATAATATGTATATTTATTAATATATACTTAATAATTTTGTGAAGCAATTTTTTTTTATTAACACCCACACTCAATGTGCAATGTCTAATGATATATAGTTCAATCAAAATGCAACGTGAACCGCCTTTCGCGACGCGAAGATAAATTTTGTTTCTATTTGTTATTTACAGTTTTTAATGAGAAAGCCAGTTCAGGATTTAGCCACGATGTCAGAGCCGGGCTTAGATGAAGTGAAGCCCTGGGCTATTCCACTTGTGAACCCCCTCCAAATCCCTCATTCTCATGAGTAAAGGAATATGGAAGAGTGTTAAATTAAACAATTTGAGTAAAGCTGGGAATGATGACGGGTGTTTAAAATTCCACAGATGACAATTCCTCCTCTAAAGAACATAATGATTTTCTTGTTAAATACAGCATGTGATTGAAAAAAAAAATGTATGAATGTTAAAATTAAAAAAAAAAAATCTATAAATAAATCAATGCTAGAATCGAGTTATCGGCTTAGGACAGAATTATTCTGAAATGGAATGTAAAGAAAATTACTAAAGGGTTATTTAGAGTCCACAATGCTTTATGACAGTATGTGTAAGAAAGGCCTATGACAATGTCAAAAAATATTATGCACCTTGGCTGGAGGTCCCCTGAGCCTATATGTAAATCCGGTACTGCGGAATGTGATTTCAAATGTAACCAGTTCTTTAACTGGATGCAAAGCTGACAATCGATATCTGATTAACAAAATTGGATATTAATTCGGTGATCAGTTTAACTGAAGGAACAAATCATAAGCAAACCCTAGTGTGTGCTATTGTTGATTCCATACGATTGTCTATTTTAGAAAACAATAATTAAATTGCCAGATTGGACTACTTTTGAAAACACAGCGATATTAAATTTTGTGTTTCACGTTTTACAATTTTTGGAAGAACTGCTCATGAAAAGAGAGGCGATTCAAAACTTAATGTTGGCCCTTCAAAATGGTACCCAACTCGTTACTTGTGGCACAATTGGTACAACCTGTTCCAAAATGTAGTGCTCATGGTTGAATTTAGAAGACATTTTGTTGGAACATGTCATTGTCATTTCATCTCAAACTTTCGTGCAACACTTAAGACGTATCTTTCTCTCTGTACCAAACCTAAGGTGAGGTTTGTAAAGAAGTATATATATAACAATACCTTTTTTATCTATCTATCTATCTATCTATCTATCTAGTGACTATGAGAATTAGTGAAATGAATATATAAGGAATTTATATGATATTTTTGCTGAAACATGACTTGTCCATTTCACTTCATTTTTTGTTTCTACCAAACCTAAGCTAACCATTGTAAAGAATTTTAATTAGAATCTCTCTCTCTCTCTCTCGATCTATCTATCTATCTATCTATCTATCTATCTATCTATCTATCTATCTATCTATTGATTTCGCCCTGGGTATGAGTATAAACTATATCCGGCAATACCACTGATCAATAGATTAGAGGTTTTTAGTAGCGTGGAACCCCCACTTAATGCCAGTTGTTCTAAAGTCTTCTCTCACCCAAGGTGGTAGCACCTATCTATCTATCTATCTATCTATCTATCTATCTATCTATCTATCTATCTATCTATCTATGTGTGTGTGTATGCGTGTCAGTTAAATGTGTATATCGATATGAGCAAGACAAACTTTCCTTCTTATAGATAAAAAATGTATATTTATTATTATATATATATATATATATATATATATATATATATATTTTAACAGCTGAAATTTCTTCGTTTCATTGACCTAATGAAAAGTCAAATATTTTCATATTTTTAACAAATTAACTTATTAACATCTCTAATTTAAATTAATTTAATAAACTAATCCCTGTTCTTGAATGTAGATAGTTTCTCCTATAGCCCGGTTCACACTCTTCCCTGTTTTCTTGAACAGGTGTAGAAGTTTGTCCTTTTATATATATATGTTGAAAAGTTATCATCTTCCTTAATTCTGGAGGAACACTATGAAAATCTACTTTCTTTCCTACTAACCTTACTGTATGAAGCTTTCAAGTCGGGAAGCCTTTTTTGTATTGAGAACCAGCATTGAAAATCCTATCTTTTACGAAAAGACGAACCAGTAAATTTAATGCAGCTACCAAGTAATGTTCAAATACGTCACAAGGTTCATCTATCGAAAGATACAATACTGAAGGCCTGAACTCACTCGATTATAAACCACGGACATGAGTCGATGTCTCTTCTTCGCCCTTGGGCAGGTGCCAAAAATGAGGTTCATAATAAACATTTATGCAATAAAGTGTAAATGTTTATTATTTTAGTTTGATTCAAGGTCACAGGAGTCAGAATAATATTCCCGATACGGTACTAATCGACCGATAAACAACTTGGCGTCCCAAGATATTATGAGATACGAGATTTCTATATGAAGTAATAATGTGAAACATCTTTTTAAGCGCCGTTGAGAGGTACTTTCTGGAGGACGGATCCCCTGTACCGAGTCGATTCAATTTTATTTATTTGTTTGTGAGTGCGGAGTCTTTGATTAAAGGAACACGAAAGTGTTATAATAGATATGGGGTGGGGTGGGGGTATGAAAGAAAAGAAAGAAAGAATAGATCATATAAAAAGGTAAAAAGAAAGAAACAATAAAAGCAATAAAGCAAACAGATGAAGAAAAGAAAAGAAAAAATATGAAAGCAAAAAACACGGAAGAAAGAATAGATTAAATAAAAGAAAAAGACAAATAGTAGTAGAAGAACAGAACAGAACAGAAAGAAAGAAAGAAAGAAAGAAAGAAAGAAAGGAAAGAAAGAAAGAAAGAAAGAAAGAAAGAAAGAAAAGATATGACATTAAAAAAAGAAAAAAGGAAGAAAGAAAGAACAGATTAAATAAAAGAAAAAGAAGAATAGTAGTAGAAAGAAAGAAAGAAAGAAAAAGAAAGAAAGAAAGAAAGAAAGAAAGAAAGAAGGAAAGAAAGAAAGGGAGAAAAGATATGACATTAAAAAAAAGAAAAAAGGAAGAAAGAAAGAACAGATTAAATAAAATAAAAAGAAGAATAGTAGTAGAAAGAAAGAAAAGAAAGAAAGAAAGAAAGAAAGAAAGAAAGAAAGAAAGAAAGAAAGAAAGAAATAGTTGGAAAGAATAAATGAAATGAACTTCTATTTGAAAGAGAGTGGGGTCGAGGACTAAGTAAAAGGAGGGGAGTAGGAGGAGGAGAAAAATAGTAAGCAAAAAAAGCGAGATACAAGGCAAAATAGTTGTCTAGCAGAGGCAACACGAAAACTGCAGGAACTCCTAGACAAGATACTAAAGGGAAGCGGTTAGAAAGGGGTGCACATCAATTGAAAAGAAAAAAAAAGTCGTTAGCAAGACTGACGTTCCAAAATGTGGGCCACGAATCGGGAATTGTCGGAATCAAGCAAGGTCAGACGTGAAACTATCTGGAAATTTTTATAACAGACGACGGAAAAGGCAACAGCAGTGGTGAACCAAAAAAAAAAAACTTGGAGAGTTGAGTTAAAGAGAAATAACTAAGACATCCGAAGAGGCATGACACGTGGAACTAGAACAATCTATCCCGATCGACGAAATAAAGGGTTCGGTTCGAAATCCCAATCATCTGAAGAAGGCCGGAGCGTACAGCGGCCGGAACGTTGTGAATATGGCAAAGAAGATATGGATAACAGTCCGAATAATGTAAATAATCTAAGTAATCATACTACCTCATCTCAGAGAAACAGACAGATACTGAAGAAGGCCGGTGCGTACAATGGCCGAAACGTTTTGAATATGGCAATCAAGATGAGGATAACAATCTGAATAATGTAAATAATGCAAGTAATCATGATACCTCATCTCAGAGATATAGACAGATCCTGTAGAAGGCCGGTGGGTAGAACGGCCGAAACGTTGTGAATATGGCAATGAAGATGATTATACCAGTCCGAGTAATGTAAATAATGAAAGTAATCAAAATACTTCATGTCAGAAATATAGAGACCGAAACGTTGTGAATATCACAATGAAGATGAGGATAACAGTCCGAATAATGTAAATAATGCAAGTAATCATGATACCTCATCTCAGAGATATATAGAGAAAAAATGATTGTAGAGAAAGAATACTAGAGACGGAACATATGAATAACGAAGACGATTGATTGAAAATAATAGTCAAAAGGACACTTGGATTTATAATCAGAAAGAGAGAGAGTTGAAATTTTGTTCAAAGATGATGAGGAACGAGGTATTCGAGAATTTGATACTCACAAGACATAAGGAAGGCAAAAGAGGCAAAGAGAAAGATCGGATATTCCAGCCTTGTGTAAATGGATTTCAGAATAGATTGGGCACATATTGCATAAGATAGGAAGTTGTAGAGAGCCATAACCGCCTATATGCTGTTGTTCCAAACATGGTGCCAGGACGTAAAAGAAGGTGTTAGTTATAGGGAAGAGAGCGAATCGTATAAAAAGAATGCCATGCACTTTATGGTAAAATACCGTGTGCGGCAGAAATACTTCCTACTCCCTCCATATTCATAAGAGATTAGCTCGATGAAGACACCATTGTCGTTAATGTCTTACCATTATGTGAAACGTATTATTTATCCTGGTCTCCCCACTGAGAGGAGATGAGACAAGGCCGTGAGTTATGTGGGTAACCCGAGTGCGTATACTCGGGCCCAAGGCAAATATTGTCCAACCCCGGCAAGCGATTCCCCTTTTTAGTGCAATGAAGGACCAAGCACTTCACAGTATTTCATTTTCCCCAGCTGCGTTTCTACCCGCGGACAGAGCCACCTTAGAGTCGCACTCTAGTCGCACTCTACCCGAAGCCAGAGAAGCAACTGAGAAATGACACCCCTACCCAGCCATGAGAAGCGGAAAGTATGTGATTTTCTAAGCGTAGCTTAGACGTGGCACAAGGCTGGATATATGGGGCATCCAGTAAGGATCTAACTCATTATTCAGTCGTAATTGTCCTTGCATAACAAACCTGCTAACCACTGCACAACACCGACGTTCTCCCAAGCAATGGGGGGTATTTTTGCCGCGACATGTATTTGGTGAATAATCGTATAAAATCGTATATATGAAAGTCAACTACGCTATTTCATCTCCCTTTTAGTCTCGTCATTTGAAAATTTTCACCTAAAAATTTGTTTTACGTGCATTTCGTTTCCAGTCCGTATTTAGCGCAATGAAAATCAGGATAAAATGGACTGCGTGTGGTCAAGAGTTAAAACAAACCTCAATGAAATATACTTATTTTATGAGCCGTGTTTAGTCCGGGTGTAGGTGATATGGTACTTGGATTAATGTAATATTTAGCCATATGAACAGGAAGATTTATATTTTTTACCGTCAACCGTGAAGAAGCAAGAATAAAATAAACTTAAATGGAGATAGATATGATAAGGCCGATGTTGATTTTTATGTGCCGTATTAAGAAATAGATGGCCATGGATCTCCACTACTTCCTAAAACAGAAAAAATATAAAAAAGCAAGAATGAAAGAAACTTAGATGGAGATCGATATGATAAGGCCGACTTTATTTTTTATGTCCTGTTTAGGAAATTAGAGTTCATGGATCTCCACTACTTCCTAACACCGAAAACCTATAAAAAGCAAGGATGATAGGCACTTACATGGAGATCGATATGATAAGGCCGACTTTATTTTTTATGTCCCGTTTTAGGAAGTTAGAGTTCATGGATCTCCACTACTTCCTAACACCGAAAAACTATAAAAAAGCAAGGATGAAAGACATTTACATGGAGATAGATATGATAAGGTCGATGAAGTAGGTGACCATGGATCTCCACTACTTCCTAACATCGATAAATATAAAAAAGCAAAGATGAAAGACACTAAGATGTAGATAGATATAAGGCTGATCTTGGGTTTTATGTGCCGTATTAAGAAGAAGGTGACCATGGATCTCCACTACTTCCTATCACAGAAAAATATAAAAAAGCAAGAATGAAAGAAACTTAGATGGAGATCGATATGATAAGGCCGATCTTGGCTTTTATGTGCCATATTAAGCAGGTGACTATGGATCTCCACTACTTCCTAACACCGAAAAAATATCAATGTAGAAAAAGATTAAAAGAAAGGAAAGGAATGTAAAAGACAAAATAGATTCAAAAAACGTTGAAAAATGGATTCATAGCCTTAAAAAATAGAACTCCTGTTAAAATACAAATTCTCTCTCTAGTCCGACTCACTTGCCTGTTCAGCTCGCTGAACAGCTAAGCACCAGAGGTTTATTACCGATTCGTATAGGTCATTTAATAAACCTCACTCAGACTGGCATAATAGTCTGAGGCACCTTGTGAGGAACAAACTCATTGCATAGTAGTAATAGCCGTTTAGATTAATGCGTTAACCATTAGCCTACAGCGAGACGTTCATTGCCAATCTGTCGATCCAAAAGTAGCGAGAAGCGTATATGCTAATTACGTATAGAATAAATTTACGTACACTGTCCGCTGTCACATTCCAAAGGCCGAAAGCCTGAAACCCGTGTCCAATTCAGATCTAATTCGTTCTCGACTACACGGCCGCAGGCAAAACATATTGAATATGCAAATAGTAATCGAATCGTTTTAGACCTGACCGTTCAGGGATAAAGTGATAGTTACGAACAGACATAGATAGATAGATAGATAGATAGATAGATAGATAGATAGATAGATAGATAAATAAAACATATTGAGATAGATCTGTATAGATAGATAGATAGATAGATAGATAGATAGATATATAGATAGATAGATAGATAGATCTGAAAAGGTTATGATTAACAGATATGTCTAGACGGAGATAGATACAGATTGAAATACGCACACAAACTTATATACGTACATACATACATACATACAGACAGACAGACATACACAGACACACAAAACACACACATATATGTGAAGAGAGATAGAGGTATAGCTTATGATAGAAAGATAAGAACATATCGAGATAGACTTGAATATATATATATATATATATATATATATATATATATATATATATATATATACACGAACATTTGTATATATATAGAGAGAGAAAGAAAGAGAGAGATAAGTACAACTTGTGATAGATAGATAGATAGATAGATAGATAGATAGATAGATAAAAACATATTTAGATAGACCTGTATAGATAGATAGATAGATAGATAAAAACATATTTAGATAGATCTATATAGATAGATATGTAGATCGATAGATAGATAGATAGATAGATAGATAGATAGATAGATAGATAGATAGATAGATAAAAAACATATTTAGATAGATCTGTATAGATAGATATGTAGATCGATAAATAGACATAGATAGATAGATAGATAGATAGATAGATAGATAGATAGATAAAACATATTTAGATAAACCTGTATAGATAGATAGATAGATAGATAGATAGATAGATAGATAGATAGATAGATAGATAGATAGATATGAACTGACTGTGATAGATAGATAGATACATAGATAGATAGAAGGATAGATATGAACAGACTGAGATAGATAGATAGATAGATAGATAGATAGATAGATAGATAGATAGATAGATAGATAGATATGAACAGAGATAGATAGATAGATAGATAGATAGATAGATAGATAGATAGATAGATAGATAGGGGCAACGGAATGTACATTGATTTTCTGCTCGGTCAACTATTGGATGTTTGTTGTGAAAATATAGACCCGTTCATAAATAGAAACTAATTATATACGATGTCGCGCTGTTAATTTCTCTGCCAACCAAACTTCGCAAAATGATTTAATCTTTTGGAACCCCTTTATATATATATATATATATATATATATATATATATATATATATATATATATATATAATAAATTAACTGATTTAAAATTTAAAATTTTTTTTTCGCTACACAGTAATAAACTGAAGCTAAAAACTTTAAATTTAATTATATAATTAAATCAAGTCATACATGAGATACTATATATTACTACGTTTATAAAAAAATAAAAAAATTACTGAATCAGAGAAATGAAATGGTTATTTTTTGCCGTCATTGTCAAAAAGTTTCCTTAAATAATATTGAAAAATGAAATAAAAAAATCAGAGCTGGTAATATACATACTTATATTTGATATGAAAAAATAATTTTAAATAATTGAAGTAATTCTATTGTATTTACTTGTTTTAAAAAGAAATATAGTCTATTAGTAATTAAGAGTAAAAATATTTTAAAATTGTAGTTAAATAAAACGTATTCTAACCCAAGCACCCCATAGAAAATATCGTTAAGTATACAAGTACGAAAAAAATGCCGAAAAAAATTTTCCCGTTAAAAAAACAAACAGACGACATGCATTTAATAAATAAAATAATTTGCATGTATATATTTTTAATCGTTAATTATTTTAGTGTATACTTGTTTTTGAATGAGACGTCCATTTTTAAACAATATTCATTATTACTACTGGCGTGGTCACTCGAGAAAACTTAACAGAGAAAATATTATATCCACACACAGACACATTTTTATAATATATATATATATATATATATATATATATATATGGATAAAAGATAAAAATAAAACTATACTATTTGATGCATATCAAAATGAATAAATTTTTCGACCAATAAAGTGATTGTTCTTGTTGTCGAGAGAAATAATTATTGAATGAAAAATAATAAATAATACAGAACGAATTGTATATACCTAGGCTGGTGGGTACTCTATGGGCGGGGTCAGCCTGATTAGGGGTTCCGGATAGTGCTTTGTGACCTCGTTATCTTATCAACATTAGCCTTTTTCTACCTACATTTCTATACTTTAGAAATTAAACGAAGCATAACTGATTGTTAAAGAACACCAAATGCCCATGAATTTTGATATCATTTTGGGGACCTTTTTTCCCAAACCATGAATTTGTTTTGCTCATGAAAGTCTCAAGAAACAATATTTGATCCACAATGTAGAATGTTTTAAAATTATTCAACTTTACAAAAGAAAATTATTCAAAAGAAAAATCTCAAATTTTAAAATCAGACGCAAAATATTATTTATTTATTTAATATAGAATAAGCAATTAATCAATGTCTCTGACTTGTATTTAGATACATTATATTTATTTTCAATTTTTCTACTTAAATTGTTCACCTATATTGCATATGATCGATTATTGTACATAATTAGGTTACAATAAAATGTGGATTTTATATCAATATTAAACTTATGAAGTTTGAGATCGTGTAGAATGGGGAGACACGTATCATACATTCGGGGTGGGGGGAGGAGTATGCATCATAGAATCGGTGGGAACCCACAAAACACTTGCATCGTCATGTATATATCTGCACCTCGCGATGCTTAACGAGTTAGTTTCTTTCCTCGTTACTATTATATACTCAGTTCGGTTTATAGTTGTGAACTCGCCCCATGAATAACTATTAGATAGATAGATAGATAGATAGATAGATAGATAGATAGATAGATAGATAGACTGAGAAAGAGACAGATTGAGAATGGGATAGATAGATAGATAGATAGATAGATAGATAGATAGATAGATAGATAGATAAAACTTAACTTTTAAAAATTTAGTGCGCACAGATAATACGCTGAACAAAGGTAGATGACTCTTGAGCTGCAGTTTGAGTTCAGAGCGCATGTGCGCACACACACACACACATGCAAATACAGACACAGAAAGACACGCAAGCACGCACACGCATTATTTCTATGAAATATATATATATATATATATATATATATATATATATATATATATATATATATATATCTTTAGATAGATAGATAGATCTCTGTGTATGTATCATACTATTTAATATATATATATATATATATATATATATATATATATATATATATATATATATATATATATATATATGTACATTGGTATTTCTAACCGAACCCCGTTCACTGGGATAGGCACGTGTAACAAGAACAATTTACCTCTGTGGACTAAATAAAGTATTCGTTTCAAAATTCCCACATATATTACCTGAAGAAGGCCTGCGCGTACAACGGCCGAAACGTCGTGAATAAGACAATAAAGATGAAGTCTGAATAGTGTAAATAGTTAAAAATGCCTGATCTCGGA